TTTTAATATCTTGTTCAACTTTATATCGTGTAATTTCGTTGCAATATCCAAGTTTCCAATAATAAACTTAGCGTTTGTAACAGTTTTACTTTCGATATAGCGTACTTAATGCTTTGTTCATATGATTATCCATATACTATTTCAATTTACTATTTAATTTACACGGCCTTGAAAATTACTTTTTCATTCTTATTTAAACTCAAGATATCTCAACCGACCGTTACTTCCATCTAAGCAACAGGTTCTAGAGTCTGAGATCTGTGCATTCAGTTTCTTTGTAAAGGCTGAAATTAGTCTTAATCTGAAGCTGTCCTAATGGCTATTTAATATCTAGAGTCTACATGTATTTGATGAAACGAATCGTTATGAACATTCACGATCAAAAAGAAAATATTAAAGATGGATTCTCGTCCTATAAAGTTTCGCGTCGTTTTTATTGGAAATATGAGAATTGGCAAATCATAACGATTAAACTGAGATTGAGATTTGCAACTTTTAAAGATTCGATAGTTTAAGTGGCTCAAGCATTGCCTTCTAAACATGGACTTAGGTTCAAAATCAACTCGTTCCACATTTCCCCTTAAAGTTTGTTTCCTAAGTTGCTTTTCAGGCTAAAGTACTAATATACTCCCATTGTTCTTAAAAATAACGAAACTACACAGAGCGGTTTTCCACTTGAAGCATTTTTAACTTTGTTATATTCTTTACTAGAGAAGTCTTGTTTTTTAAGGATTTTGTATGATTCATCATGTTTAAAAACGATGATATCTTTTATAAGTGGGATAAAGAGAATCTATATTATTTATTGGTTAGTTAATTCAAATACAAAGCTCATCTTTACTAAGATGATCAGCTATAATTTTAGTTGGGTAGAAGTAAAAAAAAAGCAAAAAAAAAACAAACAAACAAAAACACGAGTACATATATTCGACTGGAGTCAGTATATTCGAAAAATAATTAGATTGTCATTACTTCTAAAATTGTGCTTAATATTTTTCAGAGCTAAGTCTAAAAATGGAGGAAGAACGCTTCGTGACAAACTCGAGAAGATAGGTTTAAACCTTCCAGCTGGACGACGGAAGGCTGCAAATGTCACTCTTCTTACATCACTTGTAGAAGGTAAGGATTTCAATCTGAGCATAAAGCATTTTCCGTCAACGGCAACGAGAGGAACCAGTTCGTGGCATTTAATCAATATCTTGTAAACAAATAAATCAGTATTTTATAAAAAGAATCATTAAAATATTTTGAGCTGTTGCCAAGATGACGATGAATTCAGTCATCGATATGAGAAAAATAAAATGCATACGAAAGGAAGAGGAATGTATATGGGATGTTTGATAAACTTGAGATACGGTCAAAAGCCATAATTCCTGAAAGACGAAGCTACAGTTTCTCTACTACCATTGCTTTAACCCCTGTGGCTCAGTGGCAGATCTGAGAGATTATAATGCTAAAAATCGAGTTTCGATACCCGCGGTGGGCACAATACCGATAACCCATTATGTAACTTTGCCTTTAATAACAAAACAAACAACCAGCCTCTTGCTTTATGTAAATGATTTTTTAAAATCGTATCTCCACAAATAAATAGATGAACAGTAAGTCCTCAAAGGAATATTTTGTGAGTGAAATATATCATAAACTCTTAAAAGAATCCATATATATATGTAAACTTTATGTTATAAGGTAGGAACTGATCTTCATCATTTTAATTTTTATGTTAGCATGATATCTTCAGTTTTTAATTTTATTTTTATCATGAGATATTCAGTTTTTGATTTTTATGTTAGCATGATATCTTCAGTTTTTAATTTATTTTTATCATGAGATATTCAGTTTTTAATTTTATTTTTATCATGAGATCTTTAGTTTTTAATTTATTTTATCATGAGATACTCAGTTTTTAATTTATTTTTATCATGAGATATTCAGTTTTTAATTTTATTTTTATCATGAGATATTCAGTTTTTAATTTGTATGTTAGTTTGAGATCTTCAGTTTTTAATTTTCATGTTGGTGTGAGATTTTTAGATTTTAATTTTCAGATTAAAACTGAAAATAATAACAGAAATTTTTAGTTTGAATTATATTTTTCTACTCAGTTACGAATACTTTGACACGAGGTTTTCGGAGTTGACATGAACGTCTGTTAGTTCAATATAAAAAACTTACTGATAATGTATCTGTTATAAACAAAACTCTGACGGTTGTGTATATAACTAATTGAAAGTTGTGATAATTAAAAAAGAGCAATGGCCAGGTGGTTAGGACGCTTGACTTGCAATCTGCGAGTCACAGTTCGAATCCCCGTCTCACCAAAAATGTTCACCCTTTCAGCCGTGGGGGCGTTATAATGCGATGGTCAATCCCACTACACGTTGGTAAAAGAGTAGCCCAAGAGTTGGCAGTGGTGCCTGTTTATTTGTATAAAACTAGTCAAGAGCTAATATCACTAGCTGTCCCTAATTTTGAAATCACAGACTATAGGGAAGGCAGCTAACCAACAGAGCCCACCGCCAACTCTTGGGCTACTCTTTTCTGACTAAATAATAGGATCTGATCACCACTTTTATCACAACCATGACCTCAAAGTGCGGAACGCAATTTTTAAATTTTATTTTTGCACTAATTTGACGCGAACCCTGGACCTGCTGATCCATAGTCCTGCTCGCGAACCATTACGCCAAGTTCAGCTCCATACTGGATTATTCTTAGACAGAAATTTACTGTAATATTTCTCCAACAAAATTTAACTGTCATTCTTCCCTTATCTTATAAATGTATGTTCATTTTGATATGTTATCATGCAAAACAAACATCTAATCTTGATTGGTTTGTTATAAATTTTAATTATTCCTGGGTATTTGGGTTAGGACAAATCTAGAAGATTTAGTACTTATAAATTAAGTAAAACGTTTTAAAAAATTGGTAAAAATTATCCTACATTTTACAGTTAGCGAATAAAAGTTATTTTTATTGAATAATTGACGTATTTCTAATAACAAACAATTATATAAAAAGTTAATTTTAGCAATTCAGTTTACACTCTAATGTATCCATCTAGAGTACGTTGATTTTTAGTATGTATGTGTGTATAATGAAAATGATACAAGCTTCCTCTAGCGGTGATGTACAGATACTAATACTGTAAAATTATGTACATTTATGGTAATGGCTGGTAACATGAGATGTAACCTCGTGGTCTAATCACTAAATGAAAATCCTTCCTTGATCTTGGAATCGAGCAAGATCACGAGATATAGTCAGAAAGAATTATTGCTAATTATTTCTCGATATTGTTCTTGATATTGAAAAGTGTTATTAACTTTGTGTTATTCTCTGGCAAATTATGTTGTTTTATTCTTTTTCATAATTTATTTTATATTCATTGAAATTAATCACATTGAGATTTATGTTGTATTATTTATTAATATTTGTATCTTGTCCTGGCCAGGCACTGGATTACTAATTGTTTTTTTAAGTGATAAAATTGTTACTCTAGTTGTTTGACTAGGGTCAACCAATGTCAAACAAAAACTACTTATTAAATATAACAAATATTTAACAAGTAATTGTTGTTGTTTTTTACCCTGGTTTTTTAGTCCGCTACAACGACATGTTATTATAGAATATCTCCAGGTAATGCGTTCTATACCATAAGAGTAAGATAGATTTTTTCATAATTGGTTAAACTTGTGGAACTTCCCCTCCCACTTTGATGATTAACTAGACAAGTAAAATAAACAAAATTAATGTTTATTTGATAATTGGAGTTTAAAGTATTTTCCCACAACCGCACTCGGTTAATGGAAAAGTACGATGAGATTGTGATGTTAAGGTTTAGAAAACTGTAAGATTGAGAGTGTTTCCTATACGCCTTGTATAAGTTGCTGGTACAATTTCTCGATATAGTGATAACAAAAGTTTGCTTTAAAGCTTAGACTAGTGTTTTAATATCTTGTAGTGGGATAAAGAAAAGAGTAAGAAAAAATCCCATAACAGTTAAAGTTCACATCCGTAAATGGTAAACATTGTTTCTTTCTTTGCAGTTAAATGTTTGTTTGAATTTCGTGCAAAGCTACACGAGGGATGTTTGCGCTAGCCGTCCCTAATTTAGCAGTGAAAGACGAGAGGGGAGGCAGCTTCTCTTTTCACCAACGAATAATGGGATTGACCGTACCTTATAACGCCCCACGGCTGAAAGGGCGAGCATGTTTGGTGGGACGGGGATTCAAACCTGCGACCTTCAGATTGGGAGTCGACCTCCTAGCCAGTTATTTTAGAACAAACATTTACGTATATTACGGGGTAGAACTCATAAATTGTTTGATTTAACGAAAAAAGAGACTACTGTATTAATACTATTTTTTGAGTGCATGAAGTGTCATTCAGGTGAACACGCAAATAATTTCATGGGTGTGTGTGTTGTTAGGCTTTGGGGGGATGACTTTTCACATTGGAAGGTCAGTTAACTTTTATATTGAATTCACATACTATTGTAAATGTTAATGGAAGTATTGGCTAGAGAAGGGGCTGACAAATATTGTCAGGGAATCGAATGGGCAAAGACTTGGTGGTTAAGAAAACAAACTTAAAGATGGACGAACGATCAAACAGGTAAATGGCTACACGAAGAATATAATATCAATGGCAGATGGAAAGATAATACGTTTGAAGGGTGGAAGATGAGGCTAACGAACGGATTGTCGCACTCAGGTACCCACAAATGGACGGAAGGATAGCTTAATTTGACAAGTAATTAAGTTCTTTGAAAGAAGGATTCTAGACTGTATGGATTAATATGAAATGTCGATGAACAGTCTAATGAAAGAAATGAGTATGGAACGTTCGAATACGGGGATGGGCTATGTGATAGTTTCTTTGTTTGTTTGAAGTTAAGCACAAAGCTACACAATGGGCTATCTGTGCTCTGCCCACCATGAGTATCTAAACCCGGTTTCTAGCGCTTTAAGTCCGCAATACCTCTGTGCCACTGGGGGGGGGGGGTGCTACGTGATAGTATTAAGCTGGTGTTGGATGGATAACTAAATGTTAGAAATTACGAAAAATCTTGTAGAAAGAATAGAGGTGTAAAGGTATAAATGAACACTTAACTAGCCTTACAGAGTGAATAATGACAGCTAAGCAGCTGATCTAGAGCTAACCTACTGATGAAAGAACAACTAACTGATGTCAAGTGAGCAAACACATTACTAATCAGACGGAAGAGAGAGGTGTGTTAATTAAGGGGCTAAACTTGCACCCACTGACTGATGTCAAGCTAATACACACACTGCTTGTCAGGCGGGAAAAATAGAAGTCTTAATCAATTAAGGGGCTGATCTCGCATTATTTAATGATAGAAGCGTGGAATAACTACGAGCTTGATAATGATGGCTTCAAAAATATAATTTCTTTCTAAGGTAATTATTAGACATTTGCATACAAGTTGCTTCATAAATCAACATAGTCAGAACAGTTCTTTGAGAAATTACAAAATAAATAAATAAACGCTCATAATAAAATTTCAGGTTTGGTTATTTCTGAGAACAAGTTGCCAGTAAAAAGGCCACTTATTCAGGATTTCTAGAGCTATTCATCTGTTTAATTTCACGTTTTTGGAACGTGCGTTTGAAGATAAATGTGATCAAGTAGATCTGTGACAAACACAATTTTACCTTAGAAACATCAAACACACAAATATAAACCTTATAACTGCTATTTATGTTTCCTTTTGTTAACAAAATAGTTAGAAAATATTTGTCAGCGGATTTATTGAGTCACGTTTCCATTGTAAAGAAAACATGAAAATTAACATGTTTATTCTCGGCCTTAAAATAATATTCAAACGCCAGTTGATTACTTAAGCATTTCAGACTGATTTTTTTTCTTATAAATATATAGCTTTAATAGACTTACCGTGAAAAACAACAACTAAACTACAAGGATATAAATGGTTGTCCCTCAATAACTCTTTCAACTCTTAATAGCTCTCTGTTCCGCCCCAACCGCAAACTTGTACCCCTTAAAGTGACCCTTAGCAGAGCGAATCACTTGGAGAAACCCGAACTTAACACATGATCCTCCTGCACTCCATCATTACTTGACGCAAGATT